TTGTTAAATTGAAAATGAGAATACGGATTGGAGTAAATTGGGCAATGCAAGTTCAAAGCAGAAAAGTTTTATCGTAATGACAGATTTTAAGTTCGGAATGTTCCTCAATCCTGGGCACAACTTTTGAATTTTAGCTTAGCTGTTTCATTTTCTAAGAACAACCGTGGCAATATATGTAGTTGCTCGGATGTATTTAAGTATGCAACCATTATATCTGAAATGTTGTGATGAAATCGAGCTTCTTGTTTTCTCCTTCTATGGTTAACACCGACGAATTCCTCTCTGAATCCACAAATTCCTTGCGAACATAAAAGCGAAACACATTTTCTACAAGACAGATTTAAAAAAGGGGATTTATTTTTGGATGAGTGTGTTTTATTTAAAAAGGTCGGTTAGGTTTAGAGAAATGGACCGGGTGTTTTTCTTATTGACTAGTATTCGTGCCCGCGCGTTGCGCAGGAATACCGTATACATAAAGAAATACAGTATACATAAAGGAGCATGAAAGAATTTCGATTTTGCGGAGTTTGAACATTCATAAAAAGCTGGATGGGTTCTACACCTTCCATTTACATGTCTTTAAAGAGTTTCAAAGCTTCATCAAAATTTTCATTCAACACATAACCATCAATAATTGCTGCCTAAGAAAAATATTTTTATACTTCAACCTATTAAAAGTCTGCCTTCCCAGTTCAACCCTGAAACTTTTCGAATACATAAAAATGCAGCTCTTTTCCATGGTACCGGTTCTTCTTAACATCTCCACACAAAGAAAGATTGTAAATGCATCAAATTTTCAAACTTCAAATTGCAACTCCTTAAAAAAAAACTATAATTTATCATTCAAAATTCTGTCTTTACACCCTTATACCTTAAAATCACAACATTAAACAACAATATATTCAGGTGCAGCATTTCACGAGATTAATAAAGAGATGTCAATGGCACATACCTGAAGCACACGCTGAACTTAAAGAACCGGTTTTCACCAGAGTCTCAAAGGACTAACGAACATTTACATCTTAACATGGAATAGAATTTCTTGAGATCAAGTGCACCAATTAATGTTAATGAGGAGAGACATGTACTTGAATATGTTATTGCGAAAGATCATTCATTGCACAAACTGACACCTGATAAGAAATCAACAATAGAATAAGTACATTCAATAGGAATACCTCAAAGAAAACATTGAGCGTGAATAAATTTTTACAATAAAAGGGAGTAGATAAAGAACGTGATGTAATAATGCTGAAGAAAAATAGTTAATTTGAAGTTAATAAAAATTACTCAATACATATAAACCTCATCGCGACTGTTATCGGTGATTTCCTTCATCCGTAGAACCTCCAAAAATAGAAATATTGGTATTTTTAGTTTACTATAACTCCCACAGAAAATTTTCTAAATATATTTTCGAAATAATTATTAATTGAAGTACAAAAGTAAACTTAATTTTTGGCCAATATATTTTCAANATTCGAAGGCTCTAACTTTGAGATTCTGTTGAGTTGCTTGAAATTTGACTGATTTTATGAAGTGTTGTAACCATATTTGTAAAGTTGTGTATTTTGAGCAAAACAAAAAAGGGAACGGAAAATAAAATAAAAGGAGGAGCAGACGTTTGGGACAATATCAGTGTAGGAAACAATTTTTAAGTTATGGAGTTAGGTTTTGATACCCACGTGTGCAAAGACGATCGTGGAGTATTTGGGATCGTGGAGTTTTTTTTTCTTTTTTTTTCTTCCTGTTTGTAAAATTTTCTATTTTTTGTCAAATTTTCAGGTTTTAATAAACTAAATAAAAAACTAATAAAACAACGTGGGTGTCAATTTTTTTTGAACTGATTAGACGCTCGTGAAGCGTTTTAGTTTTTCTTTTTTCCTATCTCTATGTAAAAATTTTGTATAAATTTTTTTGGCGAATTTAGGTTTATAATAAATTAAAAACTAAAAAAAATATAGGAGTCTATTTTTTGGAATTGGAGTAGTTGTAATTTTTTTTTAGTTTTCAGTTTCAATAAATAAATGCCCAAAAACGTGGACTCTATGATGTGAATAAATTTTTTGTAAGTTTTTTTTTCTTATTTTAAGTTTTTTTGAATCTCCAAATTTATTGGAGGTTGGTCCTAAAACTTTACACATGTTGATATTTGGTTGTGACACTTGGCACAATAATATGGCTTTGCTTCTCCTATTCTATATAGATAGATTATAGGCCAACCACGTGTAATTTTAGAAGAATTACACTCTATGTCACTTGGGCCATACAGCCCACTCAAAAATAGCCCATATTTTGAGGCCTTTACCTGGCATAGCCCATGTTGGCTAACTTATGAAATTTTATTTTCACCCAGTAGCCCACACCTTAACATAATCGATTTAATATTTTAAATTTTAATTTCTCTGTGCTCTCTTCCTCACGCTTTTCTCACTCTCTCTTCCTCTCGATTTTCTCAGACCATAACCGACTCCATTGTTGTGTGCAAGTTGCTTTTCGAGGTTTCAATCTTAGTTTGAGGTAATTTTCGTTTCATTTTATGCTTTTCCTACAGTGTTGGTTTTGAATTTTGTTTTTTTTTTATTTTTTTTTGCTTTTTCTGATTACGCCAATTTTTTTCAATGTTGCTGTGTTTTTTCGGATGATTTTGTGTTCCTTGTTTCTGCGTTCGAGACTTAAACTTGATGAAACGAAATACATGGTTTGTTATTTCGACTTTTAGGGTAGAATTTTTGATTTTTTGAGTTTTGTCAAAATTTGGAAAAATTGGCCTCTGCGTTGAGTTTATGGGTTTTATTTTTGTTTAGATTTTGAGTTTTGTTACAGTTTTATTTGTTTGTTTTCCTTCAGTTGTCTTCACTTTTGTTAAAGCTTTGTTTTGGCCTCTGCTTTGTGTTTATGGCATTTTGGGTTAACTTTTGAGTTTTGTTACAGTGTGGGTTTTGTGTTTGCTTTAACTTTTGTGTTTATTTTGTTAAAGCTTTGTTTGTTTGGTTTATTGTAGAAAATGCGTTCAAAAATGTCTGCTTCTAAAAGCAAACTGAAGATTGACGGAAAAGGCGTTAGGTTAGATTATGCAAAACGATTGAGGGAGTTGCCCTCAAGCCCTGATTCAGAATCTAATGTAAATGCCCCGGCACCAGAAGTTGATGATTTTGATTCTGCTCCTCCTCCTAAAAACTTGCAACCAGAGAGCAGTCGGATGACTCGTTCTCAAATGAGAAATACTCCCACTCCAGTTAAATCTTCGAGTGACTTGCCCTCACCCTCTTTTTCTGAAGCGAATAAGCATGTGCAGGCTCTCGATGATGATGATTTTGAGTCTCCTCCTCCTCCAAAAATGTTGCAACAAGGGAGCAGTCAAATGACTCGTTCCCAAACAAGTAGTAGTCCTGAGCAGTCGAATGACTCGTTCCCAAACAAGTAATAGTCCTACTCCGGTTAACATCGTTAGACTAAGGAGTAAGAAATGCGGCAGACCTGCAAAATCAACAGATAAGCTGAAAGATGATTTGTTTAATGAAGATGATGTAGTCCGCAATGTTAAACGGAAAAGGAGAAAGATGAAGGATGATGGTGAGAGTTGCCTTTATTTACGATCGAGAGAACAAAGGGTCGTTATTCGCTTGAAATTGAATAAGAGAAAAGCTAAGTTGAAGGTATTCCCTATTTTGCTATTTATTTATACATGCTTATACAGTTTTATACAAAGTTATACATCTGTTTATACATCTTTATACAAGCACTGTTATACTTGTATATACAGTCTTATAAAATGTTTTAGTATATTTTTTGTTCTTGATCTATTTCTTGTTATTTTCCTATATCCAAGGTTGGGGACTTCTATATACAACCGGTTGATTATTTCCACAACAGGATTAGTTCCCATACCGAGCCTGATATTGTGAACATTTTGAAGCAATGTTTGACTGACACGCAGCTTCAAATGTTCCGTGCTAGTTGTTTTGGGTACTTCCTGGACCTCCCTCAATTTAAAATTCAAAATCAACTTATTCATTGTATATTATTGAGGGAAGTCGTCCCAGGACGTGAAAGGGAGTTGTGGGTAAAGATTAATAGTTGTTTGCTGCGTTTTGGCATTGGAGAGTTTGCTCTTATCACTGGTTTGAAGTGCGTAGACGACGACGCCACTTTCTATGACAAACCAGATGTTAATAGGTTGCTGAAAGAGTATTTTCCAGGAGATGGAAAAAAGGCCATAACAAGGGGGGAGCTTCTTGATCGCTTCAAGCAAAAGGAGTGGAAGTCGGATGAAGATGCGTTCAAGATGGCCTTGATGGTGTTTGTCCATCATTTCATCTTCTCTGATGCCAATAATCATGGTATCACCAAAGATGATTTTGATATCATTGAAAGTGGCCAATATAAGATGTTTCCTTGGGGAAAAAAGTCATTTGAAGATGTTTTAAGGACAATGAGGGACAGGCAATGCGATTATTTGACAATGTATAGGCTTGGAGGTTTGCCGCTTGCTTTACAGGTTTGGTTTTTTGAGTGTTGCTCAATGGTTGATAAGAATCTAGCTGTTCGCGTTGGCACAAATGTGCCACGCATTCTTAATTGGAAAGTGACTAACACTCCATCATATGCGGATTTGACTGGCGGCGTGATCATGTGTAGTGTCGACAAGGTAAACATTTTGTACCATAATACTTCTTCATATATGATTTCAGTTTTTCTGTATTTTTCTACTATTGTAATCCTGTTTTTTTCTTCTTGTAGTTGAACTATAGTAACATTTCCCCTACTTCTGAAGAGATGTCAAGTCTGAACATCGACACACTTTTTGAAGTCAATGCTGATGATGTTGCATCAGGGGAGGTGCCTGTTGTTCCTGCCTTTCACACTGATGATTTTGTTGCTGCACCTTCACCTTGTCCTCAGCATATGGAGCAACAGTCTACACGACCTTATCCTCAAAATGCAGAGCAACAGTCTAAACGACCTTGTCCTCAGACTATGAATCCACAGCCTAATCAAAGTTATGATCCTTTTGTGCGTCTTGATCTTTTGAATGATGAAGTTGAGAAGCTGAGGAGTGATGTTGGAAAGGTACTTGACCTTTAGCTTTTCTGTAGTTTATAATTACTTTTTGGTTATAAACATGGTTGTTTATTTGCTTTTGTTGTAGTTGACTGATACAGTGACGACACTCAACAACTATGTCGTTTCTTCCTTTGAAAAAGTGTTCAGTTTTCTGAATATGAAGGAACCCAAGCAAACGAGGGAGGATTTTACTGATTCTAAGGTAATTGTTTACTGATAAAACCAAATCACTCAACAGTTATGCCTTCTCTGAACTCAACATGTCTTCTCTTTCTATTGTTTTTTATTAGATTCGTCAGCCCGTGTTTGATGACAATACATCTGGTCTTGGCGAATTTGATGGCTATCAATATGATGTTGTTCCTAACTTTGTCAATCAAATGAATCAAGATAATGTGGTAGCTGACGAGGGAGTTACTGATGGTGTTGATAATGGTATTTGTTCTGCTTTTTTTTTTTTTTGGTCTGATTTTTCTTTTCTTCTTTTTGAAGTTTTGTATTATTTGTGTTTCTATGTCTAAGGGGCAGCAGGTGATGTCAAGGGTGACACATTTTGGGATGACATTGGTGATGAAGATTTAGCTCATATGTCCCAACTTGTGGTTCACAAACAATCCATCATAGAAGTAGAAGATGATTACATTTCTCCTGACCATTCAGTTCGACAGAAAATACCAGGAAAATATGCCAAATCTCCATATTTGCCAGTTTTTGATTCTGGAGCATCAAAATCGGCGCCCAAGCTCATTTTTGATATCAAGCATCCTTTCACGATCGAAATTGATGATTTTGATACATTGTCGCCATTGGCTAAAGAGTTTTGCGCGTTTGTTGATAATGGGATGGATACGAGGCGAAGGTATCTTCACTTTCTTCAATCTTTCATGTTCTGATTTTATACTTGTCAATGAATGTAGTTCTGATTACTTTTTATTTTTGTGATTTGAAGTGCCAAACATATATATCCCGATGAAGTAAATAATCTTGCAGAAGGTTTTACTTTTGGCTCGTGTTATGTGACCAAGAAGGATTGGTTCCACTCACTTGCATATTGTGGTCGACCTTTGATTGACACGGTATTTTAATAAATTTCTGTTCTAATTCCCTTTTTATTTTTGTTGCATATCTTTGTTGTTTTGAGACCCCCATAGTGTATACATAGCTTTGTATAATCGCAGTATAAGATTGTATAACCTTGTATAAATATGTATACCTATGTATAATAATGTATAAACTTCTATATTTAAAAAAATCTAGTAGTGATGGTTGTTCTGTTTTATTTCTTATCTCAGCACCTGGATGTCCTCTTTTATTATTTGAGGAAGAGGGGAAAATATGGGCCGAGTGTTGCCATGCGGTTTACTACAACCAACTTTGCCTTTGGTAACAAAATCAACTCCCTATACAAAGATTTCAAAGTGAATCAAGATCCTTCAGTGATTCCTGACGGGCATGAGATAAAAGAGTACATCAGAGGTTATTATTGTGATGCAAATGTCCCGTGGCACACTGTTGACCACGTCTTATTCCCTATCTTTGTGAAGCGCGGAAGAGCAAAATTGGGACATTGGGTTTTGGGGGTGTTTACGTTCGTAGGTAGATGCATCCACATCTATGACTCTAACCGTGGGGCTCTTAATGATAGACTTGTTTTGGATGTTGCATTACCTTATGCAATTCTGATACCTTACTTCTTGAAGAGTTCTGATTTTTATGTCGAGAAGAAGGGCATTGATTGGAACAATGGTACATATACCGATAAATCCCATTCTGATTAATAATGTTCCCCAACAGATCAAATGGTAGGTTAATCTCAATTGTTTACTATTTTACTATTAGTGTACCTATTTGAATCTGATTCGTTTCTTTTTAATTACAGTGATTGTGGTGCTTTTGTTGCTGGCTTTGCTGAGTATTTCATCCTTGGTAAAGAAATTCGAAAGGATAATTTTGACATTGAGACACTTCGCACCAGGTGGGGATCTCTGTTATGGGATTATGGAAGGAAAAAATAACAGTCTGGTGCAATTAGTGATGATGAAGTCACAGGGAGACTTTTGAAGAAGAGGAAGAGGGGGCGACCAAGAAAGTAGTTCTGTTATTTTTATTTACTGTAGTTTTTCTATGTATAAGGAGTTGTTGCCTAGTTTTGTAACTATTCTGCTACTTGTGAGATAACCTTAAAGGATATTATAGATGTTTTTTTTATTTTGTGTAATTTGAGGCAGTCATTACACATTGT